GGGGAGCAGAACAGGCAGAACCACAAAGTACACTGCTGAGGGGAGCAGCGGGCGGGTCAGGAGAGGTCTGCTGTGCCATGTGGATCTCCTCCTGGGCAGGCGGGGATTGAACTCATGCGGAAGCAGTTTAAGCTTCTTAGTGCAGTGCTTTAATCTGCTGTGCCACCAGGGAGGGCCTGATAATCCCGCTTTTTAAAGACTATTTGCACCTTCATCTCACCTTATCCCTCATCAGTGATGTCACTGCATATGACAGAAATGATATCAAACACATTTATATAAAAATCTCCTTTATTTACTAATTTTTTAAAAAAAGATTAATTTATTTGTGCATACAGAACTGTGGTACAGGCCAGAGGTGCAGGGGCAGTGAGAGGCTTCATCAGAGACAGAGTGGGGAGCAGAACAGGCAGAATAATGAAGCACACTGCTGAGGGGAGCACCAGGCAAGACAGGAGAGGTCTGCTGCACCATGTGGGTCACTTCCGGGGCCGGGGATCGAACTTGCACTGAAGTAGCTGTGGCCAGCTTGCAGTGCTGCACCCTAACTTGTTGTGCTACCAGGGAGGGCCCTCCTATATTTACTAATTTTTAAAAAATTGAATATTGAGGAAAACTAGAATCTGTGCCTGACATGCTACAAAACATAAAGAAACCAAAAAAATCTGAGTTCATGAAAACACGAATGAGTTCTTTTCAGATGAACACTGAGGAGGGAAGGAAATAGCTGCGACCGGCGACCAACCCATGGAGAGTGGCCAATGCAGTTTGTACCCTCTGTGGAGGCGGGTCTCTCTCCCTCCGTGGCCTTGCTTTTCACTATGCTTCGTAATTGAGATGAGAAGATGAAAATGCTGCAATTTGTTGCTGATAAGAATAATTACAACAAAAAACATGCATCCTTGCCTAGGTAGCTCTAGATGGGAAAGTGTGCCCAGAGCTGTGACTAAAGCTTGACACTTGTGCTCCCATCAGAAAGTGTCATTTCTGTGTCTTCAGATGATCACTGCATCTCAAAGCCACATTCAAAAGGATTTTGGCTGATTGGCCTTTTGTGCCTCCTTCCATTATGGATAATTGAGGTTTTAATATACAGTAGTGACATTCTAGTAGCTGAAGGAAGGGGGCAGTCCCTGAGGGCAATCTGAACTTCTGCTTGGTATATTTACTCTTGCTGTTTTCCTTCCTCTTCATTTGTATTTCAGGAGGCTCTCTGAGAAGAGAGAGGCAGCAAGGCTTCTTAGATGGATCGAAGCGCCATGAGCTGGGATACCAAGTTCTATGAAAAGGTCTGCTTTTGAATTTGCTCTGCTACCTTTAGGCAAATGATTTGATCACACTATGCTTTGGGTTTCTTCCTGGGCTTGCTAAGTGCCAATAACATGCATTTGAGCATTTTGCGATGATGAGAGTGGTTTAACTGTGGGAGTGGTTTATTTTTCCAGGCTGGCTGCACAGGTAAGGGTAAGAAAGTATGTTCCTTTGAGATGCTAGGTGTTGTGGCATCAACTGACCCCCAAATCTTGAGGATAGCAGACTGTCACACCTGACAGTCTGATTCCTGACAGTCTGATTTCCCTAGAGTGGGGAGCACACTTTTGTCTCCTTTTATCCCCCCCCCCAGAAATGAATTGTTATTTTATGTCCTCTCCTTGCTTTCACCTCCTTCTCAGCTCACTCTAAATAGAGGAAGGGTTTCTTTCTGTTTTATCTCTGACGCTGATTCCAAGAGGCAGGAGGGAGAGGTGACAAAGTAAACACATTGATTTGGTTTTGCTACTACAATTTCTTTTTATTTTGGGCAGGACCATTAGATGTTTGAACTAGATTTAGTAAGGTGAGGCTCTTTGGGGTTTTGGCAGGAAGCAGTCAGGGAGTATACTGGACAGAGAACACAAAGTACCCTCCCTCTTTCCCCGCCCCACCCTTTTTGTTTTTGTTATAGCTTATGACTCTTTAAACAACAAGGTGTCCCTGTTATTGAGAGTTGCCAAGCTGAGATTCTTAGAAGTTAATAAAACTGTGGGTAAAGGACGATTCTTTTTCCTCCTCAGTGGATCACCTTTCCACTGTTGCATAAATAAAAATCTCTGAAGTGCAATATGGAACGAATGGGAAGGTTTCTTTTGTTCTAAGATAAAAATGTGCATCATTTCTAGTGCGGTTCAATTAAAAGGGTTTTGTAAACAAGCCTAGGAAGGCGTTAGAGCCGGAGGACCCATGAAATGCTACTCCTTAGCTGCAACTTGGGTAGCAGCAGGAAGAACTTCAGACACAGGAACACAGTGTAACCCTTCGGTTTTGAAACACCGTTAGGTCTCCGGGTGCCGTAAATGATCAAAGAGACATCCGGGTAAATACTGCCGCTCCCAGAGCACAGTTTGCGTTAACAATGTCGGATCCAACCAACTTCCATTTGTTAGTTCAAGGAAACCAGCAGTCAGGGGTTCTAGTGTGGGGTCTCCATTCTTGGACAGGGTCATCACTACGTCCAAACATGCCTTGCAGGTGCCCCCGCGGCAGCTGCTTCCAACAAAGCCAGAGCTTTTACCCAGGCCAGCAACTTGCGAGGCTCGGGGTCCCCGGCGCGGATGGCTTCCTTTCAGACCCTGGGGTTCCGGGGTGCGCTGCAACTCCTGCGAGGCGCGGTGGATGGAGGTCTTTGGAGAGAGGGTGCGTGCGTGTGTGTGTGTGTGGGGGGGAGGTGCTGGATCATCCGCTCTTAATGTAAATGGGAGGCGAAGCAGCAGAGACAGCGACAAGTTAACACTGGGTGACGGCCACTGGCAAGGACTTGCGTCCGGGTGTCTGGACGTCAATAAGGGATGAGACTCCCCCACCTCAGCCGCGGGTCAATCTCAGGTGAAAGTCGCGCCGGTGGGTGAGGAGGGGGCCGGGAGTGAGCCTCAGGCGAGGAGATGCGAAGCCCTGCGGGCCCACCTCGAAGGGCTCGGGAGGCGTCAGCGATCGCCTCCGCAGAGATCGCCCCCGGCAGCGATCGCCAGGCCAAAGAAAACTAGCCTCCTCCGCCATTACAGGCGGCCGCGTTCCGCGGGAGGCGGGGACGCGCACAGCGAACGCGCGCTCCTTTTGTCCCGCCTCCCGGCCGGCGGTTCACTGGACGCAGGGAGCGCGCCCCGGAGAGAACGCGCCCCCGCCGCTCCTACGTGCTCCGGGTGGAAACTGACGCCCGCGGCAGCGGCGTTCCGCGGCGGAGAGGCAGGGGGAGGCGGGAAGGCCGTGCACCGCCCGCTCCTCCCCACCCCCCGCCTCGGCCCTGAAGGGGCTGGATGGGCAAGTTGGGCGCGATGGCTCGAGCCGGGGCGGCGGCGGCGGCGGTCGGAGGCGGCGGCGCCTCCTCCTCCTCGCCCCGGCGCCAGCGGTGATCCGAGCGAGCGGCCGCGGCCCCCGATGAGACTGTTGGCGGGCTGGCTGTGCCTGAGCCTGGCGTCCGTGTGGCTGGCGCGGAGGATGTGGACGCTGCGGAGCCCGCTCTCCCGTTCCCTGTACGTGAACATGACGAGCGGCCCGGGCGGGCCGGCGGCCGCGGGCGGCAGG